GTCCTGCAGAACCCCCTAATCTGGACTCGGGCTGCCTACCGAAGTACCTGGAATTTGGTGGGTACTTAAACCAAACTTGGGGGTCACTGGTGATTTCGCAACAAGGGCCGCCAGCTGGCCCACGCCTGCCTGGTACCGTCCAGCTCTGACTGGAAGTCTACCCTACAGACCTCATGCTGCAGCCATAGCCTGTCTCTTGAAGAGGTGCTCTCTGTCCTTTCACAAGTGATGCCTCAGCTTTCTCTCCCCAGTGCTGAGTCACTCATGGGCCTTTCACCTGTCCTGGGGCTGGAGCCGTGGCCCCGGCGAGCTGGCCGACTCTGCGTGGCCCTCTGGGCTTGGTGGGAGAAAAGGAAGTAAGGCTTCCCTCGGCCACAGAAACTCTGACACAGCAGGCCCGGCGGGCCCAGCCTTTGTGAGAGGATAAAAGAGGCAGCAGTGCCCGCCCTGGCCAGAGACACAGAGAATGGGGATAATCCCCCAGCCCAGTGAGAGCCGGGTCTCTGCACCGCTGGCCTGGCCGGCAGGGAGGGTGGGGGCAGGGGAGCCGTCGCTCCCCGAGATGAGTCTGGGAAGCTGGACATCTGCGCCTCCGAGCCCGGCCTGGGAGTGAAGACGAAAAGCTTGCTTCCCACTCGCAGGCTCACAGCCCCGTGCTCTGACAGCCCCGAGGCACTTTCTCAACAGCGGCCTGCCCACACGTTGCCCTCACACGTGCCACACACCCATGCACGCCCGCACAGGGACGAGGGAAAACAGTGGGTGTCTGGGGCTGCGGCGCAGGGAGCTGGGTGCCCAGGCGGCACCACCTTCCGTCCACCGGTGGGTGCCTTTGGGCAGGGCGTGAGCCTCTCCGGCCCTCGGTGTCCTCGGAATGGCACCCTGCTTCTCAGGCTTGCAGGGGCTGGGGCTCGCTGAGGAGCAGGCTGAGATGCGGGTGTGAGGTACCCCTCCCACCCCTGCCCTAATCCTCGCCCCAGAGGCTCCTCAGTGCCCAGTCCACCCCCTCACTGCTCCGGGAGGCCCCAGCAGAGCCCACCTGCAGGGGAGATAAATCATTATCCCCTAAGGGAGTTCGCGCCTCCCTCCTGGGTCTCTCCCACTGGCTTTGAAGGCCAGACACACTCAAGTGGTTAAGCTGCCTGCGAGAAGTGTTTACGGGAGGCTGATGGATCCCACCTGGTGCTGGGGCTGGAGCCAGCGGAGATGCCCCCAGCCACCCCCAATGCCCCGTCAGCTGCCAACTCCTACAGTCCCTCAGCACTCCCTGCGTGACTGGCCCCAGCCTTCCCACCCTCCCCAGCCCCCACTGCACACTTCCATCACTCACAGGTTCTAGATGGCCAGTGGAGTTTACCAAACCGAGGTCTTCCGGCCACAGAGCATGACGGTTAAGGGCATAAGCTCCAGAGCCAGACTGCCTGGCTTCCAGTGTTGGCCTTGCTTCTGATTAGCTGTGTTACCTTCGGTTAGTTGCTCAGCTGGTCTGAGCCTGTTTCCTCATCGGCAAGAGGGTTGCTGGTTTTTTCCAATATCTTAAATGAGTTACTACGTGAAACGGCTGAGAACGATGCTGGGCATAGAGTAGAGACTCGATCCTGTTCATTGTATTTATATTTATGCCCAAGGCTTAGTTTTGTGTCTGCAGTCCAGTGGTCACTGTAAAAGCAATACCAGGCACCAGGGGGTGGGGCACCAGTAATGCCACCGGACCCACATAGAAAAGGTTCTGGGTTCACATACCAGGATTTCCCTGAGCATGGCAAGTGCACGCCTGTGTACCCAAGATCCGGCGCGGGTGAAACTGGGGGAGGACTGTGGCATGGAGACTCCGTTGGGGCTGCCTATCTCTCTGTCTCTCATGGAAGGAATAAATAAAAACTTGAAAAATAAATAGAGCAACATACACGTTCCCTGCATCACCTCCGCACTAGTCTCATATGAGCGCTGTCACGCAGTTTCCGGGTTTGCATGATCTTTACGGCTGATCGCCTTGGCAAGGAAACGATCACTCGGAGCGACAAGCTTTACCTTCACTGCAGCACCCCTCAGATCATGGTCTGAGGACCCCGCAGATCTGTCCCGTGTGCTCGGGACTAAGGAGCCCGGAGAGGACTGCAGCGGGCCAGCTTCCGGTCAGATCTGGGCTTGCAAGCCTTTGGTCTCACGGTGGGATCATAACCCCGGACTCCAGGGCAGAAGAGGTCTGCTGTACACCTCTGCACTTGCAGTGCCCACCAGCACGGAGCCTGGCACCTCGGCTCAGTGCTCCACAAATGCTAGCTCCCTTCACACCCTGTCTCTCTGCTCCCCTCCCAAACTCCCCTCAGTCCAGCCCACCAGCTGGGATTTCATTGGGTCCTCGGCCACCAGTGCTTCAGGAGCACTCCTACCTGAGTCACTAGGGGGCCAGACTCAGCTGGGAAAGCCAGGGGAGGACCCAGATGGGAATGCCACTAGAAGAAGTGACCCTGGCCTCCTTCACCTCTGGGATGGAGCACTTTTTGTTTGAAATACATATAGAATGAACCCTGCAATGAGGCTGAAAACTCGTGTATGCCAGGGAGTGCAAGCAGCGAGCGGGAGAGGCGCTGGATGTGCAAGGACAGAGAGGAGGGCCAGGGCCCTCACCCAACGGGAGCACATGGCATTCGGCGCCCGTGGACTGTCCACAGGCAGAAATTATGGCTCAATATTGCCAGATCTCCTGTTTTGTTTTGTTTTGGTCTCTTTTTAAGAGAAGTTGAAAATTCAGGATCTTGTGTGAAATTTGACTTTAAATACAGCACTCATCTTGAACAATGATAGAAACCTACAGCCCCAAGCTCCTGCCAAAGAGGTTTCACATCCTCCATGCTGGTCCCTGCACACACATGCACACACACACAGGTGTGGGCTGGTCCCTGCACATGCATGCACACACACAGGTGTGGGCTGGTCCTTGCACACACATGTACACACACAGATGTGGGCTCCGGTCCATGCACACACATGCACACACACACAGGTGTGGGCTGGTCCCTGCACACACATGCACACATACAGATGTGGGCTGGTCCCTGCACATGCATGCATACACACACAGGCGTGGGCTGGTCCTTGCACGCGCATGCACACACACCCAGGCGTGGGCATGGGAGCTGAGACTGGCTTCTAGGTAGCCACCTCCATTCTGTAATGGTTCCTCTGGTTTCCTTTGGGCCTTGGGTGTATAGTGCTAGCAGTTTGAGGCTCATGACCCAAAGAACATGGAAACTGTGGACCTGTGGGCAGAGTTCAAGGCCTGGGCACCGGTGGGGGTAGGGCCCATGTGGAAGTGAGGCCCCTCCCCGGCCTGTGTTGGATGCTCACCGCTCTT